GACAACATTGTGAAATATAACAAACAGGGCTGAATTTCTATCATGTTGTTTAGTGAAAATCTGTATCACTTTTTTTTTTTTTCCAGAACAGGGGATTGAACCCAGGTGCTTGTGCTTGTCAGGGAAGCATTTATTCTACTGAGCACCTCCCCGGCCCCTGTATTATCTTTAAAAAATAAAAAACAGACTTGGGAAGCTGAGGCAGGAGGATTGCCATGAGTTCTAGAGCATTCTCAACTACAAAGTGAGTTCAAGGCCTGGCTGAACTACACATAGTGAGACCCTGGTTCAAAAAAAAGAAAGACAAAGACAAAATTCAAATTGAACACCCTCAATCTGAAGTTTCAGAAAAAGACTGGGATGGTCAATGTGTTCAATCTCCAGTACCACAAAAAACAAAAAAATCCTTTTTTAAAAATTATTTTTCCACGGGGCTGGAGAGATGGCTCAGTGGTCTAAAGCACCTACCTGGAACAAGCTTAGCAATGCATCAGGGACCGCGGTTCAATCCCCCAGCACCACATGCCAGCCAGCCCCGCCCCCTGGTGGGCTGAGCTGGCCACACACACACACACACACACACAAATAAATAAATGTTAAAAAAAAAATATTTAAAAATTATTTCCACGGGGCTGGAGAGATGGCTCAGTGGTCTAAAGCACCTACTTGGAACAAGCTTAGCAATGCATCAGGGACCGCGGTTCAATCCCCCAGCACCACATGCCAGCCTGCCCCGCCCCCTGGTGGGCTGAGCTGGCCACACACACACACGCACACACAAATAAATGTTAAAAAAAAATATTTAAAAATTATTTTTCCACGGGGCTGGAGAGATGGCTCAGTGGTCTAAAGCACCTACCTGGAACAAGCTTAGCAATGCACAGGGACCTCGGTTCAATCCCCCAGCACCACATGCCAGCCAGCCCCGCCCCCTGGTGGGCTGAGCTGGCCACACACACACACACACACACACACACACATAAATAAAATTCAAAAAAAAAATTTAAAAAGGGTTGGGAATATAATTCAATAGTAGAGTGCTTGCTTAGCATGTGCAAAGCTCTAGGTTCAATCCTCAATACCCCTGACTGGCCCTGCAAACAAGAAAAACCCCCAAAACATCTCTTCACAATGGGAAAATAATACAGAGCAAGTTTTCCGCTTGGTATACACACGCAGGCACACCTAAGTCTGGCACCAAATCTGCAAGGCCTTTCCTTAGATGCTGATAAGTACTAAAAGTAAGAAAAAGAGAAACAAAACCACCAGATATCATGATCTTAAAAGGATAACTCAATCCAATACTGCTTTACTATGCTAGAGCTCTAGATTAATCCAAAGAATTTTAAGAGTGCCACATAAACAAAAGTAAAGGACAATTTAAGAGTAAAGATAATTCTGGCTTGTTGGCTTGACAATATCCTTTTAAGAATTCCGCTGAGAAAGCTAAACACATTTCCAGCTCTGGCAGTAATCTTAGACAGTAGAGGATAAACGAAAACATTTACTTCTGAAGAAAATTACAGTGACAGATTGCTATGCTATGGTTAAATATTTGCCAGTATTTTCCATCTTACCCTCCAATTTTCTAACTTCCTAGGTCAGACAGTTAAAACTCAAAACAGCTCAACTCAGCACATCATTAATACAAGCTTTCACTTTTTTTCTTTTTTGGAGGAACTGGGGGTTAAACTCAGACCCTTGTGCTTGCCAGGGAAGCACTTATTCTGCTGAGCCATCTCCCCGGCCCCCAACACAAGTTTTTATATGATTACATATCAGTAACTTCTAGAACCCAAATGTTAGATGTGTTATGCAAATACTAACAATAATATACAATTAGTATTTTTCTTATGACATTATGAAAATTAACAAGGCCCGAGACCTTTGAATAATTTTCCCACACAAGAAAACAATATTATAATGATCAAAACCAAATAGCCCGGACTGAAGGGAGGAAAAAAAAAAAAAAAAACACTGAAGAAAATCTTTAATCAGCATTTTCTGCAAACTATACCATTCGGGAACCTGAACTAATTTCTGTAAACACTCAAGATCAGTCAATACTCCACAGCTACAGGCTTTGTACTCATGAATCTCCCCCACCCCCAAACGGGGATTGAACTCAGGCCCTCAAGCGCTTATTCTACTGAGCCATCTCCCTGGCCCCCGTATTCATGAAACCAATCCAACCTCAGTTCAAAAATATTGTGGAAAAAAATGTCTGCACTGAACACGTAGATTTTTTTTACATTATTCCCTCAACAATATAGCACACCAACTATTTACGCGGCACTTACACTGCGTTAGATACTATACATAATCTAGAGATAATTTAAAATATACAGGAGATATGCAGAGGTTATATGCCACCTATGTACAGGACATGAGATTCCACAGCTTTTGGTTTATAAGGAGGCTTCTAGAACCAAAACCCTGAGGGTAACGTTGGGACAACTGTATTTAAAAAAAAAAAAAAATCTTGAAGAAAAATACACTAAAGTAATACTGGAAATACCCTTTTATATAGAGGGTCTAGGAATAATTTATTTTTATTTTAAAGAGAAATAATAATAAAGTAGAACATCAAAACAGGCTAGAAGTTACAGTAATTATTACATTGTGCATTGGTGTCTCCATAGTAATTACTCAAAACATAAGATGTGGCACGCTATCTTGTCCACACAGTATTAGCACAAACCTTTCTTGTCAATGAACCAAGAAAGTCTAGCTGTGTAAGGAGCTTAACTATCTTGGATATACGTTTCTTTCTTTTCCCTTCTTTTCCTCTCTCCCCCATCAGTTTGTCTTTTCTTTTGAACATTTTTCTTCCCAATTCACTGTGTCTACTGTACATTTGGGGGCAGGGGGGGGTTGTTTGTTTGTGGAGCCAGAGACTGAACACAGGCCCTTGCGCTTGCCCGGCAAGCACTTATCTACTGAGCCGTTTCCCCGGCCCTACATTGCACATTTGGGACTTTACTCATTCAGCTTCCCATACTAGGGAGACAATGCGCTGTCTACATATGTGCATCAGGTGTTACGTTTGTGTCTAGGTGTCCCCCCAAAGCCTCCTGCAGCCTCAGGGTGGCCTCTGGAGTTTGACTGATTACTGTGGGGGTGGATGCTGCACCTGCCCCAGGTAATTTGCATTATAAGGGACGGTGGGAGAGAGGCTGCTCCAGCTTCTGCTACCCCTCCCTTTGCTCTTGCTCTTCACAGCTGCCATGCAAGGGTGCTTTCTGCTACGTGCTGCTCTGCCTTGGACCCAGCGGCATACGGGCTGAAGCCTCCAGTAACTGTGAGCTAAATAAACTTTCCTTCCTTCATTCTGGGTGTCGGGTATTTGTTCCAGCAATGAGAGAAGAGCAACTGAGACTTCAGGTTTGCCTCATACATGTGCATGTGGTTTATTACACTTAGGAATATGATCTCAAGTTGTATCCATATACTTATAAAAGCCTCTAGTTTATCCTTCTTTATGGTTGAGTAGTATTCCATTATGTAAAAAAATCTTTTTTATCCATTTGTCAGTAGATGAGCAAGCAAGCTGTTTCCAAGATTTAACTATTACAAATTCTGCTGTTAGAAACATGGGTGCACATATATCTCTGTGGTATTAAGTTTTTAATCCTTCTGGGAAGAAGTCCATATTCAGTCCCTGTTCTTCCCAAAAGACGAATAGCTGGGTCAAATTAGAACTCTAATCCATGTTTCGTAAGGATTCTCCACAATTTCCTTAGTGGCTGTCCTAGTCTGCGCGTCCACCAACAGTGGACAGGGGCCCTTTTTCCCCACAGCCCTGCTAGCATTTGCCACTGGTTGATTTTTTGATGACAGCCATTCTTTTGGGGTGAAATGGAATCTCAGTGTCATTTTAATTTGCATCTCACAAATGACCAATGATGCTCAACATTTTATTTGTATTTATTTGCCATATGTATTTCTTCATCTGAGAAGTGTTTATGTCTAAGATGCCCATTTTTGGATTGGGTCTATGAATGTGGGGGAGGAGTCTGATTTTTTTCAATTCTCTGAATGTTCTCGATAAAAGTCCTTTGTCAGAGGGACAACTAGCTATATATTTTTTGCCACCCTGGGTTGTATTTTTATTCTGTTGGTGATTTGTTACATAAAAGCTTTTCAGTAAGATAAGATCCCATTTGTTCTTTGCAGTAATTCCCTGCAATCTGGGTTTTGTGATTTTTTTTTTTTTTCTGTTTGCCAAGGTTTTTTTTAGACTATCCATGTATCATGTTAGGGGCAGGATTAACAAATTAATGATGAAAAGTATCTAAGCCACCTACATGACTTCAGAAAATGCTACCTATTCAGGTAGACAAACTGATGTCTTTCTGAAAATTTATTTCAAAGTATATGAGTAATTATCCTCACAATACACAGGATACCTATGAAAATCACCATGTACTGAGGGGACAACATACCTGACAGGCTTTATATTACAATAAGAGTAGTTTCTTTGTTTATATCCTAGATGCAATATAAATCATTTCTGGTTTTGTAATCAAAAGGCAGGGTGAAGCAACTACTAAATTAAAACGTGTTCCATATTTATTTCATCTGACTTTGACCCTTCCTCTTGCTTTTGTTATTTTAAAATGTACCTCCAAATAAAACAAAAAGCAAACAAAGCAAAATAAAAATGAGGTCCCTAAGGCTGCCAAGACAGAAAAGCCAAGAAGGAACAATCCCCCAGCCCCCCGACTCTACAGCAACGTCAGCTCAACATCTAAAGGTGGAGGAACTCAGACTGATTCTGATGAGTCTGGACAGGATGAAGTATATAACCATTTAGTAACGTATTATTAACTAAATATTTCACTTATTTCCATATCTGGGCGATAGTTTAACAAGTCACTGTAAGTCGGCCATGTATAAGGAAATGGAGAAAACAAATTTAATATACTAGCTGGAAAACCAAATGGGATAAAACCCACATTCCTCAAAATCTTATTTGGAATCTTTCTAAAGTATACATAACAGGTAGCAACCATCAAAAATAAACACTGCACACTAACTGGCCATACACACTAAAATCAATACCAAACCAAAATTCTGAGATACCTGCCTTGATTACAGACACTACACCTGCAACCACTCACACCTATCAAATCACTGTGACACGAAAAGCACGGCCTTTTTTGCTGAGGTGAAGAAATTCCCCTCCACAACGTTTGTTGAAAAAACGTTGTTTGAAAAATAAATTCCTAATTTATTTTCTCCCTGTATTTGCTGTTACATAGAGCTAACGAACATGCCATCAAGTTAGAGGGAGATCTCAAATAATTCTACAAAATAAGGAAAGACGAATGCAAAACAATTTAAAGGTCTGACATACTTAAGCCAAACATACAAATTTTGTGCCCTGTTGTATCTTCTATCTAGTATCTTAAAAATTTCTTCTTGAATTACAACAAGAACTGGGACATAATATGCCAAAACGTTATCTCTGCAAAGTGTAAACTAAATGCGACTCTGGCTCAAAGATGCATTAGAGTGAGACAGCTTTTAAAAAAAAAAAAAGGAAATTCCAAAATCCACTAAGAAAGGTGCAATAAATGCTAACCAAAAACAAGTTGCTACCAATCTCAAGAAATGACTTTCCCAGGCTTGGGGGGGAAAAAATGAGTACTTAAAAACACAGTAATGTCTAGTGTAAGTATGTACAATGTGCATAGCTTACTATTCAGATTTGTGAGTTGAGAGACACAGGGGGCCCCATTCTCCCCTTTTCTGAATTCAAAAACACTCTGGTTTTGAATATGAAAAAAAAGCAAACAATTCATCCTAACAAAAACGTTTTTAAACTCAGTGGGTCTCTGGTGAAAAACTGTTAAAGCACAAAGAAAAAGGAAAATGTGATTTTTCTATCCCCCCCCCAAAAAAAGTTCTCACATATCCTAGACTCCATTCTAAAACGACAAAGCAAAAATGACACATGATTTAATGCAAAATTACTGACAATTTAGAAAATTACTAATATAGATCATTCAGGAGTGAACATTCCACATCCTTTTCTCCCCAACAAAAGGAAGACCAAAAATCACTGTTCATCGTTAACCTCCTTTCTTTGTCCCAACCACTAAAAATATTCTAGCTTCAACTAATCTTCAAAATTTTTCTGACTGTCCATCTGTCAGGATATTAAAGACTTTAAAATGACAAAGAGCAAAGCTAGAGCCTAAAATCTAAAGTACATTCAGCCCAGAACTGAGATACAATGCAAAAGAACGCATTTCTTACATAAGCATTGGCACGTTTTAAATACAGTTGGTCCTTCTCACACACACCCCTTACCAGCTAACTTCGTATACATCTGATTTCCACGTGAGTTCCTAAGAAAAATTTCTCGTCATCTCTAAAACGGCAAAGATACGAGTCCACTCTGAAATACAAGGACCATCTTTCATCTGGAGCAGACGGAAAAAATAATAACAGAGCTACCTCTGCCATTGGGCGCTCAGCCTGGGTCACGACTGCAGCACCGACAGCTCATCCTTTTGGACATGATTCGAGATTCAAAACTGCACACTCCGTAATTTAAAAAATAAAAAGGCACACAGTCCTCTCCTTTCCTTTCACACTAGTTTCCTGTTTACTGCAAGCTGCGATGCAAAGACATCCATTAATCTTTGATGCCTTCTCGCTGCAAGGGCCCCTTCCTCTCGGCCCGCGCCTCCTCCCCCCACGCCCGCTGAGCTCAGCCGCGTTTGAACTATAGTAACCCCTACCCAGCTTGCGCACGCAAGCAGCGCAGCAGCACCAACAGCAACGCGTCCATAGCCGCCCCGGGCTGGGGGATTAGTTCGGCAAAAACTCTGCAGGAAAGCAAGACCGGGAGCTCCCCTCTGAGCTCGCCAAGGGTGGTGCTGGCTTGGCTTTGCAACACACCAAAAAGGCTCGCGGGGAAAAAAGATGCCAGCGAGGCTCACAATCCCGAATAAACTGGGGGCTCATTGCACTAGGGAAGGCCTGGGCCTCAGGTGTCCGCGGGTGGCAAAAGCGGACCTGGAGGGGAAGGACCTAAGACCTAAGGTCGGAGGAGAAAGAGGAAACCGGGCACTAAAAGCGATCAGCAGCCTTTTTACGGTCAAATAGGACCTGGCCGAAGGGATAGGGGAAACAGGGCTCAACAAGAAGATGGGTTTGCAAGGCCTTTCCGCAGCCCCGAACCTCACACGGCCTGAAAGGAGTCGGGCTGGGTTCAGGGCTGCAAAGGCATTAGAATGGGGAAGGCGAAGGGGACGAGCGCGAGAGGAGGCAAGGCGGACAAAGAGGCGGAAAGGTAAAGTTGGAAATGGAAACTGGAAAAAGGAGCGGGAAAGGAGCATCTCTGGAAGGGACTTGGATGAGGCCTTGAAACGGGGTGCAGGAGAGGCTCTGGAGAGGAGCCCCGAGCGAGAGCACCGCAGGAATGCCTGGGTCCCGGCGGGCGCGGAGGCCCCGGCCCGAGCAGCAGCGGGCTCGGCGCGCGGCCCCGGGGGCGGGCGGAGTCGGGGCCGGGAGGCTGGGGGGCCGCTGAGGGGCGG